GTCTCTCTCTCTCTCTCTCTCTCTCTCTCTCTCTCTCTCTTGCTTTTAGCAAAACTTGTTTGCAGCGTATTGGCAACTGTTTTGTCTTTATTAACGTGAGTACATGTAAGGCCATGTATTTATTTAATTGTTATCGACACTCTTGTTGCTGTTGCTCCAATTGTTAATTTCGTTGATGTTTGTGTTGCTGTTGTTGCTGTTGGCATTTATTGTAGTAGTTCTGTGGCGGCTGATGTCCTCCGGCGTTGATGTTGATACAAGCGATGTTTCTGGTGCTTTCGATAATGCTGCTGGTGTTGTTGTTGTTGCTGTTGCTGTTGCTGTTGTTGTTGTTGTTGTTGTTGCTGTTGTTGTTGTTGTTGTTGTTACTGTTGTTGTTGTTGTTGTTGTTGTTACTGTTGTTGTTGTTGTTGTTACTGTTGTTGTTGTTGTTGTTGTTGTTGGTAGTTGAGTTCACCGTGATGTTGTTTCTTGTTGTTGTCGTTGCTGTTGTTGTTGTTGTTGCCGTTGTCATTGTTGCTATTGTTGTTCCTGCTGTTGTAGCTGTTGTTAGCGCTGTTATTGTCATTGTTGCTGTTGCTGTCTTTTTCTTTTTTTTTTTTTTTGCTGTTATTGTTGATGCTGTTGTTTTCATTGTCGTTTTTAAATGTTGTTTTCATTATTGTTTTTGTTGTCGTCGTCGTCGTCGTTATTGTTGCTGTTGCTGCTGTTGTTATTGTTGTTGTTGCTGTTGCTGCTGTTGTTATTGTTGTTGTTGTTGTTGTTGTTGTTGTCAAATTTGCTTTAGCTTTTGTTGACATTATTGTTATTGCTACTATCGTTGTGCTTCTTCTGTTTTGTTAGTGATAAGGCATACTTTTATCTACTCCATTGCCATAATTGACATCAAAACAATACATCAACTTAGGTTGACCTTCTGCTGATGGATACCTATAACCCCTCCCCCTTCTTTCCGCATATTTCCCTCTCCCTCTCCCCTCCTCACCACGCCATCCGAGTATCCTTACATTGGTAACCTGGGCCGTCCAAAACACACAAAATGTCGCCGTATAGACAATCACCACTATAATAAACAGCCACTTTCCACTTCCCTCTTGTTTGTTTAGAACTTTTTTTTTGTTACTCGAAAGTTTTTTTAAAAAGATGAGTGTTTTGTTAGGGGTTTTTTTTATTACATGTATTTCAAATTACATGTATACTGTTTTCATCAAAATTGTATTCTCATAATGTTTTTCTTCTAATGTCTTCTTCGAATATAATCCCCCCTCCCCTCCCACTTGTTCCTCACCCCCACACCTCCTCTCCAGGTCTGGGAAAAGCACAGCCGGAAAGTTTCTCCGGAAGCGCGGTCACCGACGACAGTACTTCCGGTGCCAACAAGCGCGGTTGGAGCATGCTACGGTTAGGCCGGGGGCTACAGATGCTGCGGCTGGGGAAACGGTGAGACAGCCAGTCTGTTTGTTTGTGTGTTTTTTTGCGGAACTGTTATCTCTTAGACTTTTGAAAACGGTGAGACAGCCAGTCTATTTGTTTAGTTTTGGTTGTTGTTTTTTGTTGTTGTTGTTGTTTTGTTTTTGGGGTTTTTTTGGGGGGGTGTGTGGATTTGTTACCTCTTAGACTTTGAAAAAGAGTGAGACAGACAGTCGGTTTGTTTGTTTGCTTGTTTGTTTGTTTGTTTGTTTGTTTGTTTGTTTGTGGAACTGTTACCTCTTAGACTTTGACAAAATAAGGTGAGACAGTCTTTCTTTTTGTTTGTTTGTTTATCTGTTTGTTTGTTTTGTTTGTTCGTTTGTCGATCTCTTACCTCTTAGACTTTGAAAATGGGTGAGGCAATCAGTCTTTTTGTTTGTTTGTTTGTGGATCTATTACTTCTTCTTTATAATCTGTCTGTCTGCCTGTCTGTCTGCCTGTCTGTCTGTCTATCTGTCTGTCTGTCTGTCTGTCTGTCTGTCTCGGCCCGTACCTTCCTTGTGTCTTTGACTTTGGAAAAAGATGAGACAACCCTTCTCTTTTGTTTGCTTGCGGATCTGTTACCTCTGCTTTATTGACTTTTTTTGCAACCCCCCCCCCCCCCCCTTACTGTGTCTTTGGGTTTTGAAAAGATCATGAGACAGCCGTCTTTTTGTTTGTGGATCTGTTTGTTGTTTTTTTTTGGTATTGTCCAACTGTCTGTCTCGACCTACAACTTTCTTGTGTCTTAGAATTTGGAAAAGATGAGACAATTGGTCTTATAGTTTGTTGATCTGTTATTCTTATTGTATTGTCTAATACGGGGTCCCCTCTACGGATGGATCGGGCCGATCGCCCGACTCGATCGCCTGAAACTGAAAACAAACACGTTTGTTTTTGAGGCGATCGAGTTGGGCAATCGGTCCGATTGGCCGATCACGTCCGTAGTGGGCACCCCGTATAACTGTCTGTCTCAAACCACAACTTCCTTGTGTTTTACTGTCCCCGTGGTTTTATGCACTCCGCATAATTTATCAAAATTTGATCCTTTTTTTTTTCATTATTTCTGATTATTTTCTTTTATCATTCTTTGTTAAAACTAACAGCATAATTCCACATTTTTGGGCTCAGTTTGCATAATTTCAGGTTTTTTCTTGCATAAAACGACGGGGACAGGTTTTAGAATTTGGAAAAGATGAAACAACCCATCTTTTTGGTTATCAGTGTATCAGTCTATTACTTCTTCTTTTTTGACTGTCTGTCTGAACACAAAACCACCCACCTCGGTGTCTAAGAGTTTCGAAAAGATGAGACAACCGTTCTTTTTGTTTGTGGATTTGGTACTTCTTCTTTATCATCTGTCTGTCTGTTTTTGTTTTTGTTTTGTTTTTTGTTTTGTTTTTTATTTGTCTTGGCTAGTTAACCATTAGAGCAAAACTGTTGTTCGAGCGTAGCCTAGCGAGGTGCTCTACTTTAACTAACACTTCCGTAACTAACAAAGGGTGCTCTGGTGTGGTTTGCTTCTTCTTTCCTATCAAACATGTATCGTACTTATCTCCCCTTCTTCTTTTTATCTTTGTTACTTTCTTGTAACACCTCTAATCTTCTGGCGCTCATATGACCCCATGCAGTTGCGAGCGCCGTAAAACATCTACTAAAACTAAAACTAAAACCTCCTAGTTACGCTGGATCATTCCTCGTTTTAGTCAGGTTTTCAAAAGTTATTACACTTTGGGTCACGACATGAAGGAGTCAGGCGCTCGTCAATTTTTGGGCATATGAAGTTATCGGTACCATCTTAAAGCCTGTTTATTTGCATTGCTTTTGGTGAAAAACTATTTTCATCTATGTTGAATAGAAGTAGAAATATTTGCGATTGAAGGAGGTGAGGGTCGCCTGGTTTCACAGGTAAAATTAGTGAGAAAATGGCTGCCAAAGTTAGGTAACTTCCTTAGCCTAAGAGTCCTTGGAAACTCAAAATGTACACTTTTTGAGCGTTTAATCTATGTTTTTCAGTAAAATTCACTTGGAAATGAGTTTTATATGGACCTAATAGAGGCTAAGCCAAAAAATAAAAATTCCTTTAAAACATCCAATCCTGAAACAACACACCAACAACCTTAGGAAGAAGGCTATGAAGAGACTTAATCTCGTCAAACGACTTGCCAGTACCAACTGGGGATCAGACAAGAACACTTTGAGAGGCCTCTATTTGGGATATACCAGAGCTGTTTTTGATCATAATCTTGTTCTACAAAACATTTGCAGTAAAACTTCAAAGAACTCAATGGACACCATCCAAAACCAAGCTCTTCGTCTTATCTCTGGCGGAATGAGATTCTCACCGACTGCGGCCTGTGAAATCAGCACAAATATTGAGCCATTAGAAACTTGAAGAAAACGGGCAGCTTTAGAAGTATATGAAAGATCTAAAAGGTTAGAAAATAACCACCCTAATAGAGTCCTTGTTGACAAGTGGAAACCTAATCAAAGACTAAAAATACAAAATCTGTACCTGACACTGTTCTCAATCTCCAAGAAAAACATCACCTCCCTGAAAGACGAGAACCTCTGGAAAGAGTTCCCTCAACTCTCCCACCACATCTCACCATAGCAAAGCCAGAAATTAGGAAAACACTTTTGGACAAGGGCAATAAAAACACATATCCTGTAGCACTAAAACATTCTGCCCTTGAAACAATTGATTCCTATCCACCAACATGGATCCATTCATACACTGATGGATCTGCCTTTAAGGCAACAATCAACGCTGGATATGGGTCAATGATCAACTTGCCCAGTGGGATAGGATAAAAAAAACTCCAGCGGGTCCTTCTGCCTCCAATTTCATTGCCGAACAACAGGCTATCACCAACACAGCAAACTACATCAACTACTTGTTTGACACTAACCCACTTGCTGCCACAGACATCGTTATATTTACAGACAGCCTTTCAACACTAGAGACACTTGAGAGTGGGACTGATGTGAACAAAGATATATTGCATTTGATTTTGGAATCTTTATAACTTGATAAGTAGGCACCACGTCAGAGTAGTCCTACAATGGATTCCTGCCCACACTGGGATACCGGGAAATAAAAGAGCTGATGCTCTGGCAAAGAAAGGAGCTAGCCTCCCTCAGCTTGAAATTCCTACGAATTACACCACCTGCTGCGAAATGATCAAGTCAAACCTAAAGGAAGAGTGGATGAATGATTGGGCCACAGGTACGACAGGAAGGAGGATGTATGGCCACATGAATAAACCACTGGTCAAAGATCCAATCAATGAGTTGAGGAGGGGAGATCAATCCATAATCTTCCAACTTAGAACACAACATGTACCCCTCAACCAACATCTCAACCGAATTGGAGTAAAGCAGTCTGCTGCCTGCCCACTATGTGACTACCCCTCAGAGACAGTGGAACATCATCTGTTCTTCTGTAGAAAACTAACTGATTTAAGGGGATGTTTTCTTCCCAAGCTACCCCACACATCTAACTGCCTCTACTCCTCAAGAAAACAATTAGAACAAACATGCAACTATTACCGAATGGCATCATGCAGAAGAGTTAACGCCCAGATGCTGCTGGATCGCTAACAACAACAACAACATCCAAACTGGCGAACAAATGACTATTTTTCCCTATGTCGTTATTTTGACGAGCGCCTGATTTCACCACGCTTCCTCACATAATATAATATTATGTGGGACGTGCTGACAAAATGAATTACTTCTCTCACTTCACAAATGGAGATATCGGCAGAAAATCAACAACGGAGTAAATTTGCAGACTCTCAGTTGATGTCATTTTCTTCAAGTGTACCATTTCTTTTATTATTTCCAACTAATGAATTGTAAAAACTCAGCCTATCAATTCAATATACATGTATATCTATTTCTACAAGGCTAAAATAGTAGAAGTTACTTCTCGCAAACCACAGACGGAGATTTTGGCCAAAAATCGACATTACGGTCGAACTTGTAGATTTTCAATTGATCCCATATTCTTTAACTATAACCTATCTTTTATAATTTCATACTTATAAAATGTAAAAACTTCACCAATAAGCGTGATTCATCTATTTCCTTAAGGCTTGAATTTGAGAAGTAACTCATTTTGTCAGCACACTTCACAATTATTCTCGTCTCTCAGGGGAGGGAGTCTTGACGCGCTCAGGTCAGGCCACCAGGTGCCCATGTTGCGGGCGGGTCGAGGGTCACCGGACACTTCCGGTCGTCTGGACGCCAATGAGCTGTACGCGGTGCTGTCCGCCATCTTGGACGAGCCACGTGACCAGAGCAGACGTCAGCCGCCTCTCCCGCGGTACGGTCGGGACAACAACGGCGTTGCCAGGTGAGGGGGGGGGGATTCTGGTCGTTTACTTGTTTGTTTGTTTGTTTGTTTGTTTGTTTGTTTGTTTGTTTGTTTGTTTGTTTGTTTGTTTGTTTGTTCGTTTGTTTGTTTGTTTGTTCGGTCGGTCGGTCGGTCGGTCAGTCAATTAGTTAGTTAGTTGGTTAGTTAGTTAGTTCCTTGGTTGGTTGGTTGTTTAGTCAGATAGTTTGCTGGTTGGTTGGTTGGTTGGTTGGCTGGTTAGTTACTTAGTTGGTTGGTTGGTTAGTTAGTTAGTCAGTTGGTTGGTTGAATGGTTGGTTGGTTGGTTGTTTGGTTAGTTGGTTGATTAGGTGGTTGGATGATGGGTTGACTTTTCTTTTTTTTTCACCAAAAACAACAACTAGGAGGTGCCAAAAATTGCGGTTTTTAGGACACTTGACTCAAAATAGGTACTTATAACATCTTGCCCTCATTGGAAAGATAGAAGGCGAACGAGGCAGGGGCAGACCAGAGAAACTTATTGGAAGACCTGAACAGATGGGTGACAGGGAAACACCGGCATAATGAGGGATTTTTGAGAGCATCCGAGCTGAAATTTCAAAGGAGAACCAGGATATTAAACAATGTCTATTTCAGATCTGACACTTTATGATGATGCTTTTGGTTTTGTTTTATTTTGTATTTTGTTTGTTTGTTTCGTTTTGTTCTGTTTTGTTTTGGTTTTTTTGCTTGTTTGTTTGAGTGGGGGGGGGGTGTTCGATTTTTTCAATCTTTTTAAAGCAGGTTTTATGTGTTTTCTGCTGAGGTAGTAGTGTACAGCATTTTCAGCTTCTGGGGATTAGGCATTATAATATAGATTCATATTATCATATATATGTCATTGTTAGCATTATTACCTTTTAATCATTTTATAACAATATATCCTGTTTCGCTCCGGAAGTTCAAGTAAGAGATTCCAAAGATGGTAAAGGGAAAGGCAACGGACAGAAATTATATTATTTTTCCTTTTTTGAAATCTCTACGGCTGGTTTCTCCCAGGTATTTTATTTTTAATGGGGTGGGGGTGGGGGGGGGGGGGCGTTGCAGTCGTCAAACTAGAGACATCACCGTATCTTGTATCCTCAGAGACCTCCTAGACGCCCTAGCGTCGGACGGCGAATCCAGCTCCAACTTTGACCTACTTTCTTCCCTCAACAATGGCCCCTCCTACTTCCGGCCCGCCCCTCGAGGGGGTCGCTACAAGAGGTCACTTCCGGACGCAGGCCCCGCTGACTACCCCAGCCTCGAGGACTATCTGGTCCAGAGCAGGCAGTTTGCTCGTCCTTACAGCAGCAGGGCTGTAGCGTTGCCCAGAATTGGCCGCTTCTCAGGGTCGCCCCGTCTTCAAGCAAAAGCTGTACCTCGCCCCAGAATTGGTCGGCAAGAAAGCCAAATGAGAGAAGCCAAATCCGTTGAATAATCTTCGTAATAATAATATTGTAATATCATTCTGGTCACTTGATCTTTGCATCATTTCTTAGAGAAAAAACCCCACACTCACTCTTCCAACCCTAATGAAAATAAACAAAGGTAGCATCAAATATTATTCCTGAAAGCACGACGGAGCCGGATTATTATGTTTCCAAGGTTAAGAATTTGTAAGAGTGTTGATTATAATAAGCATTATGATAGTGTGATTACTTTCATTCGAATTACTGCGTACCGGATTTTTGTTTTATGCAGATGGGAGTTATTTTATTTAATTGGGTCCGTGGGGGAGGGGGCGGTTTTTTTTTTTCTTCAATGCCATGATTGGCTTGTGGCTCCAGAAAATAGATCAGAAAAAAAATCAGAATAACCTTCATTAAAGTAGGCCGAACATGAGATGAATAATTACTCATAATGTATCAAAACAGCAGGCCAAGACTCACAGATTGTACGACAGATTGTACGACAGATTGTATAGATTGTCAAACGGAAACTCGGCCCAGTGGATGGTATTCCAGCTGATTAGTTTTGATGAGATATAAAACTGCTATAGCCTGAGACTACAGATGAAATAGCAAGTTTTCGTGACCGCTTGAAAGTTGTCAATGACCTCACGAGATTGCACGTAGTGTCCTATGTCGTTTTCTTTGACATACAAAACATAAACAAACAAGCAACAACAACCACAACATTCGACCGTGGCATCTCTTTGGAGAGGATTCAGGGAGGTTGGACTGCCTCACCTGCTATCCAAGAGAGGCGGTGGCCCTAGCGAAGAGCACGCTCTTCGGGACTCCAAACATTTCGAACGGATAGGCTACTACACACAAAACAACAACAACAACGACAACAACAACAACAGCAACACCGTTTTAGAAGGACCGGGGGGGGGGGAACAGGAGGAGACATACCAGTACACAGTTTCACAGGCAAGAACTCTATATATAGGTATTCCAAATTACATACCTCATCGTAGAAATATAATGGTCATTGTTATATTTCACAAGATCTTCCTACTGTGCGAGAGTCTATCGATCTTCACTGACCTTTATCATCATCCGGAAATAAAATCTTGTTAACATACTCTTTGTTTTGTTTGGAAGTATAATTTGAGTGTCTGGAAAGAATGAGATGAATGTATAGATATTTATATCTGTGAAATGTGAATAGTAATAATAATAACAAATAGCATTTGTACAGCGCAGAACCCCTCTCTACAGCAAGTTCTATGCACTTTACACTATATTGTAACCCCGGCAGACAATAGAACACTCAGAAACGTTCTCAGCTTCCCGAGAAGCATACAGTGCCAGCAGTTGACTAAATGCTCAAACACTAACACACTGACAAGATCTTTCAATGTCTATAGCTGCTGGGTACCCATTCCCACCTGGGCGAAGTGGGGAAAATTTGAGTTAAGTGTCTTTCCCAATGACACAACTTAAGTCCCTGCCAGGATTCGAACCCGCGACCTTGCGGTTGCGAGTGTGAGAGTCTGAATGACACGCGTCACAACTTTCTGTATCGTCGTCTGTCTCAGCAAGGGTCGGACACAGAGTACATCAGTGTCATGACGTGGCGGAATCAGGTGCTCGTCAATTTTGGAGAATATTGGGTTATTGATATTATCTTAAAGCCTGTTCATTCGCCATCCTTTTGGTGCAAAAAATATCCATCTATGTTGAATAGAAGTCGAAATATTTGCGATTGAAGTAGGTCAGGGTCATCTGGTTTCAAAGGTAAAATTAGCGAGAAATTGGTGCCTTTTAATCAATGTTCTTCCGTAAAATCGACACAATAATTTGCTTTTAAATGGACATAAAAGGTGTTGAGCCAAGAAAAGAAAGTAAGAAAAACATTGCCCATTTATCCCCAAAACGCTGATTTCTTTCAACTTCATTAAGTCCTAGTTGGATCCACATAATGTGAGGACGTTTTTTCCTTTTTGTTTTGCTTGTTGTTATTGTTGGGTTGTTGTTGTTTTTTTTGTTTTTTTTTAAATCGAGAATTTCCCCGTGTCTGCTTGGACGTTGCATTTGTGTTCCTCTCAGGTCTGGATGGCCCTGGCAGACACGGTCAAAGCCGCCAACCTTCTGTTTGACCTAAATGTGTTGATGGGGGGCGAAAAACAGCGTAAAACGTCTACAATTAGTTACATTTGCACTTGGCCGCTTTTAAGGACAAGCGGGCTAACCCAGATTTTTGGGGGTTTCCAGAAATCTTGACCTACACCAATAGTGGGCATTGCCCTACATATAGGAGAAGTTTGGTTTCACCGGTGTGTATATTTGTTTCATTATAGAGAAAACTCTCCTTGTCTTTTAAAGAAACTGAACAAGGGGAAAAAATTTTACCTTCGATTTTATCAAAACAGCATTTTCGGGATAGCCCCCTTGTGCTTAAAAGCGACCAATTATGATAAATCTTGCTCTTTGATTGAAACCCAAGCTACGTGTTTCCATTAAAAGCAATGCCCACTTATTCAACTGATCGAACTAGTCAGATCGGGTCTGGTCGCAAAGCCAGGCGATCCAGTGAGCGCTTCAAACATGGATAGAGCGGGTTGTCATTTTTACACATTGTAATAATTTTTTAAGTCAGTGTTCTTTTTCGTTTGGAAAGCTGTTCCACGCACTAAGTCCAGAAAACAAAATGTTTACCCTTTTGGGGCCGTTTTTAGAGGGGGAGGAGGAGGAGGAGACATACAATCTATATTCTCTGTATACAACGACGACGACGACGACGATGATGATGATGATGATGATGATGATGATGATGATGATGATGATGATGATGATGGTGACGAGCGCTAAAGGACTCCCGATTGTTCACGAACTACACCGACGTCTCTGGTGTCAAAATCAGGAGTCAGTCAGTAACAAGAGCGTACCAGCCATGAACTGTAAGTATATAGATGGCTTTTCATGCTATGTACTGCGAAAAGGAAAGATGTGTGGCAGGAGAGCCAGAGGAAGGCAAAGAATAACATGGACGGACAACATAACAACATGGACTGGACTGGATATGGCAGAGTGTGCACCGGCAGCTCGCGACCGTGAAGGATGGAAGGTCATTACACGTCAACCTTTGAGTCAGAGATGACACCTCTTGGTATCTAGGTACTCTGAAAGTTATTATTGTCATCCAACTTTCCAGCATCGCAAACTTCCCCACAATCTCGCTTTAGTTTGAAGTTTTTACTTTGCTTTTTAATTTTTTTAAATGTATCCTTTAGTCTATATGACCGTTGGGGCACCAAGGATGATCGGGTAACCACTTTTCTCCATCCTCCTCTATTTTCAGCCTTTCGAAGGGTTTCGCCCAACTTTAAACCTGTCCATTCCAGTATGTTGTCTTCCCATCTCTTTTTCTGTCTGCCTTTCCTTGCGTGATAAATAATTAGGAATTCAGTGCTGCTGCTGCTGCTGCTGCTGCTGCTGCTGCTGCTGCTGCTGCTGCTGCTGCTGCTGCTGCTGCTGCTGCTGATGATGATGATGATGATGATTATGATTATGTGATGATGATGATGATGACGATGATGATGATATTTCCGATATTGTCCAAATCACACCAATACGTAACTTACAGTGAACACTTTGTTGCTGTGGCGTCATCACTCATTTATTTTTTTCTCAAATACTATGTTCCTGATGAAGCCTTATTGGCGAAACGTTGAACTGTGAAAAAAAAATATTTTTGGAAATACAACAAGGTCTTAACTGTTTAAATACCTTCTTTATACAATGATGATGATGATGGTGATGATGATGAGACTTAAATTCGATTTTGGATTTTTCAAAATCACGCTCCTAATAAAGACACAACAGCAGAAAAAGGCAAACACAATAATAGTATGTTTTTACAGTGTCATAAAATTTCAGAAGTACCGAAGTCTTTATCTACTTTTTGCCTTTCTTTTGATAAATTAATATACAACAACCATGATAGTGATGTTCCCGATGGAGATCGAATAGACGAAACGCCTCGCCTTTTTCAATACCCCCCCCCCCCCCCCCACGCTTTCCAAAACCAAATAGAATGTGGAGTGTTCGCGGATGTTCTTGTGTGGCTTGCTCCTTCTTTCCCATCCAACATCTATCGTCTTTATCTTCCCTCCTTCTATTGTGTGTTTGTTACTCTCTTGTAACACCTCAAATCTTCGGCACTACATGTCATGTGACCTATAGTGTTGCAAAGGCCGTTAAACTCTTACTTAAACTGAAAGAATAATAGTAATATTTCTCAACTATTTATACAAATCTTGATAATTAATTTACAGCAATAAACCGTAGGGTTTTTTCCCCCCTTCTTCTTCTTGTGTCTCAACAACCTTTTTTTTCCTTTCTACATTCGTCATCAGCATCATAACTTGCCAGACCTGAAACAGACATCGGCGACAATGGCTCTTCATTCTTTTCTCTTTGTTTGTTTTAGTAGAGGTTTTACGGCGTTCACAACTGCATACGGTCATATGAGCACCAAGGGGTGGATGTCAACAGAGACGTCCTTACAGGGAATCAGATTTACTCTGCTCACCTCTCTAGCTTCAGCAGCACAAAGTCTGCTTCGACTACCAAGGCACCCCGGAAATAACGGGTCACAAGAGTGTGACAAACATACACAAGAAGTAGAGGAAATGACGATAGTAAGGATAAGGAAAGAAAACGCAACAGTTCCCTGTTGTAGTTCAGACACAGTTATGAGCATGTTACAATTCTACTGTACACTAGAATGACAAATGTCCCCCCTTTGGGAATGGCCTAAAGACACTTCAGTCAGTGGCACCGCCCCGCAAAGGGGGGGGGGTATTCTTTTCTTTGCTCGGAAGCTCTCAAAAACCCTACACTACCCTGGTGTTTCTTCGTAACCCATCTGTTCCAGTTATTTTTTCAACCCTAGCTATCAAGGTATCGTCTCAGTCCTTGTCACTTTGAACGACACAACCTCACAAGAAGGTTTGTGACACATTAAATCTCTTCTCCTCCCTCCATCCCCCCTCTTTCTCTCCCCTCTCTCTCTCTCTCTCTCTCTCTCTCTCTCTCTCTCTCTCTCTCTCTCTCTCTCTGTGTCTGTCTGTCTGTCTGTTTCTCTCTCTCTCTCTCTCTCTCTCTCTCTCTCTCTCTCTCTCTCTCTCTCTCTCTCTCTTTCTCTATGTCAGTATGTGGTGCGACTTAAAACTTTGATGCAACAGGACATTTTCTACTGTTCTGTCTGTGTATTTAATAGTATTGGAGAATATGTAACTGGTAAATTCACAAGGGAATACGTGAAAAATGTCAAATATTGTCTATTATCATCGGTTTCGGGAACGGAAAGTAATGTAGGGTCACAGAGACTGAAGTCGAAGAAACGCCTCAAAGCATATTACTGCCGGGGCGAGCGATTGATTTATTTAGCCAAGAATGATAAGATAACGTATGAGTCAGAATTTGGGGTAAAGAGAGAGTAAGGATAGAGGAAAGAAAGTCAAGGTCTCTAAGAAAGAAAATCTTAATACTCT